AAAGGGAAGGAAAAAGACCTTCCTACCGTCAATAAGCCCGATACTGATATGATCGGGTCAGTTGAAACTGTTGAGGAAATTCCTCAGCGAGCCTCCGTCCCCCACGGGGTCGGAGAATCATCCAAATCTCCTTCGACCGAACCCAAACCGTCGGAGAAAGCTGCACCGAAAGCAGCTTAAACGAAAGAGTCGCACTCTTAAGCTGCCACTAAAGCGGAATGCCCTTTGGAACTTCGATCGATCCTTGAGGCCGAAAAAGAATGCGCCACCGAAACAGCGGCAGATCTGGCCCTCTGTTCCGCCGCCATCTCTGGCGTCGAAGCCACCCTTCTCCCTTCGACCAACGGGCTAAATAGACTACCCGTAAACTCCATGAGAGTCTACTTACGCGCAGCCATTGCGCAATACATGGCCACTACGTCACCCGTCCTCCCTCCTCGCCCAGCGAACCCTCCTCCGAGAGCTCCTGACACCAGGAGCCTAACCATACTCGCCGTCCCAGCGCTGCCTTTCAAAAGCACCTGGGTCACGGTAGCTAAAAACGGACTGCCACAAAAAGCAGTCCACTCAGTAAAGGCTGTGCCGCAGCCTGCGGTCAAAGTACCAAAGAAAGACGCCCCAACGGCGAAAGTCGACGAACAACTTTTCATTCGCCTCAGTAGCGACCATTCTTGGAGGAAATTGTCTCCCCAGGGTGCACGAACTGCAATCCAGATGCTAACCGGTTGCAGTCTATATATGGCAGACTCTATATACCGAGTCAGGACCGGTTTCGCAATCGCGACAACCGATGAAGAATTGAGACAGATGATCCTGAATGCCTCTCCGACCCTGGAGAGTATAAACGCCAAAGTTGAAGAGGCTTCGGATCTAGTCTCCTTACGGATACCAAATGTGCCCGTAGATATCATACTAAAACGCGGCCCGGTAACGGTCACAGACTCGGAGGTCACAGGCGAGATCCTCCGACAAACTGGGCTTCTGCCAGCCGATGTGCGACCACATGGAACTTACCGTCCTGGTGCACCCTAGCGCAACCGGGTTGCTCTTTTCCCTTGGGACTCCACTCCTCGTGCGGGCTTCCGTCTCATTCAAGAGTCTGGTTCGGCTACCAAGCTACAGCCTCGACAAATAATCAAGCAGTGCTAACGCTACCTCGGCTTCCACGCAACTCGTGGTTGCTCCCGCGCTCCAGCCTGTCGTAGTTGCGGTTCAATAATGCACTCTGAAGAAGAGTGTAAGGCCGCCACCATATGTCGAAATTGTGGAGGACCTCACCGATCCGACTCACGGGACTGCCAAACTAGACCTAACAAATATGGCCCTGTGAAGAAAAAGTAGCTTGCGGTAATTCGACAAGTCGAGCAAGGGAGGTTTATAGAAGCAGCCCGAGCAAGAGCTGTAGCCAAAAGGGCAGAGGAGGCGATTATCGCCTCAAACAAAGACGTCTCCATGGCGGAGGTATCGGGCTTTGGAGTTCTGGAGTCCGAAGAAGAAGTCCGAGGAGACGGCGACCTCATAATCGCCCTATAGGCGATTACTAGCCATTAGCAGGATACCGGCTGTATCAGTGGTACCCGCTAACCCATCTCTTGCTCTCAGTAAAGATTGAAAAAGTTGTCATCTGGAAGGTGTGACGGGCGAAGGAATATATGAGGATCGCATTCTTTGGGCTCAATGTGGAGGAATTTTCTGACTTTGGGGATGTTTTATGCTTTTTTTTTCTTTTTCGTAACAAGAAGGGGCCTAAATTAATTCTATTCTACTCTATTTTTTTTATATTCTTGCTTTTGATTTTATCATAATCTGCTATAATTTTGGTAGCGATTCACGCGGTTGGAATGAGTGGGCTGTGTAAAAAAATACAGGGATCCCTGCCGGCTCTATCGGTCCTGTATAACTTAGATGGACGTAGAGCTTTAGCTTAGGAGCTTAATAAAACAAAAACACAGACACACAGCATAGAAGTGTTTTGAGAACTTTTCAGTATACTTTAGCAATCTAGACCAAGTCTGTGCATATCTGAAGACTAGGACCGATAGCAGTTGCTTTTATGCCTACTCCAAACGCAAAATGCAGATGGTCGAACCCCGATATTAAGTCTAGAGCTCCCACCCATGTCCACAGGTATCGAACAGCTGATGCTTCAGTACAAACGTCTCAGGGTCAAGTCTGTGGACGTGTCGGCAGGGTACCATATCTCTAGATTCAAAGGTTAGCCGTGAGCATGCATAGAGTGGATTGAAAATGGCCGATTATTAGATTAATGTCATCGTTTTGAGTATTTGTTATGAAAAATTGAGTCTAGTGATTTCATCACTGGTTGTTATTTATTCATTCATGTACCTCTCTCAGGATGATGGGATTTTTGAAATGATCTTAGATGAATCGAAATAACCACACTCGAGGTACGCTTAGTGCCCTGTTGAGATATTCAATAGCATTTTATGGCAATCAAGGTCCTAATTCCAATCAGCACGATGAGGTTAGACTGCCTAACCAATGCGGTTAGCTCACGGTCGTGTGTGCCCAAAACCAGTAGCTACCCCAGATTGTCCCAACCGCGCGGCACACAATCATCGTATGAGGTATGGTCGGATCTCGCAGGCATCATGACAGGGATATCACTAACCGAGTTATAGGGCTGCCCAAAAAATCAGGGGTCTACAGGACAGATCAAACGAGACATAGACAATTAGAGTCAATCCCCTGTTAAGACGATGTAATCGGGGCCGTGAAAAATATCGTCATACAGAGAATATCGTTGCTCCACGGAAATTCCCTTGTTGGCGGCATTTTTAGCACCAATCTTGCAAAAAAACCCCGGTTAAGACGATATTCAGAGGTTGAAGAACGATAATCGTGTAATGGGTAAATGTATGGGAACGAAGTCCGTTCTGGAAAAAATATCGTCTTAACAGGGGTCTGACTGTACAGCGTCCAACCAAACTATTCGACTTTAAATGTATAAACTCCGCACATACCGGTGGCGATTCATTCCAGGGGAAATTCTCTCGTGCTAATTCTTTTTGAATATTCTGTGCTACATCCTGTATAAAATGGATAAGGATAACAATGTTTAGCTCGCAGGTCTGCAGCTGTGCAGTAGAGTCATCAGCACTGATTTCCTGCAACTACAGTGTTCGATCACTAGAATTGAATATCACAGCGCATAGGGAGTAGATTTTGTTGGCGGCTGCAGGTGTCAAAATTCACGATGAACTGTTTCGAGTAAAATCGATCTAGTTCAAACTTTCTAAGCTATTGTATTCGAGCTCCACCTGTAGTGGGGTAGAGGGGCCCCAACGCTAGAAAAGGGTAAGCATGAAGGCCAAGATTGTCCTGGAATTACAAGACATGCTCTTTTATTTTACACACTAGCCGAAATAGACATTTTATCCCCAGTTTTACTGCCTCGCATGTTGGATCATTAATTGACAACACTCAAGAGCCAACAATGAAACACATCTTTTGGCCAGTTACGGGCAGAAAAGGCGGCGTAGATGGCTATAACTGCAATCCTAGCACACAATTTTATCTAGGCGCCATCTAGTCTCAAGTCGAAGTCTTCATCTAGTGCACTTTATCCTTCACAGCTTGAGGGCCAAATAGTGGCGACTTGGGACACGTTTTGGATAAGCTTTGCACTAATGTAATGGACTTTTATGTCAACATTAAGCTCTTCCATGAATACCCTGTTTGACTGTAGAAATCTATCATTTTCTCCATCTTCAAACATATCCCTGTAAACCAAAAGAATGTCTCAATTTCTTTGTTCGGCTTCGTCCTTCGCTTTCTGCGTCTGACTTTCTCCAACCCGCCTTTTCATTGTACCAAATCATAGCTTCGTGTGGCGAGGCAATACTTGGCAGAGACGGAGATAACATAACCATAGATTGAACTGATAAACACTTCTTGAGCCTTGTAATACTTTTGTGAAAGAGCCATGGGAGACATAGTTCATGTTGAACAAGCTCGAAGAGACTTAAAAATATAAAACACAAGTTGCAACCGCCAGCTCTCCTCCCCTGAAGAAATTAATCCTGAATTAAATAAATGTCAATGCTACTTGACTAGTTCTGTCATGAATGTATTATCTCTATTACTAGTTCAAGCGAATGATACAGTTTAACGGTGTCCCTGAGAGACCCCTCAAGCGCCTAGATAACTCTTTCTCTGCTACGCATAGATTAGGCTTCTCAGGATTGGATAAGCTCAAGTCTTTCCGTGTGAACATTGAAAGACATCCGGCGGGAAAATTACAGTTTAAGCCAGAGTACGCGCCAGAACCTGGAAATTTTTCTGACCTACAATCTGTCTTGAGATGTAAACGCTTCTGATCAACTCTAGGTTTGCTGGGTCTATGCCGGTAGAAAGGCAGGCAGACTCAAACTTGACAGATACTGCTTGGCCCTTGAACTGTTAGATCCTAGTCACCGCTTCCCCGAGCGTGTATGAGAATGCTAGGTCGTCTTGATCGGCCGGGAAAGTCAGGTCCCTTAAACGGGACATCGATAGACAAAATGATGTTAAGCATGAAAACTAGATTTAAAAGTCGACGCTGAATTACGGGGAACTTTCTCGGCCTAGTCACGTCTAGGATGTGGTGAGCACAAGTGGCGGCATCCACTAGCCAATATCTAGTCTCCATAAGCGTGTTAGTCACTTTGCGTGACGGCATTCTCTTGTGATAGAGGCGTGGCTAAAAGGCAACTCCGGTGGCTCCTGGTCCGGTCTTCCTACCAAGTGCATACCAAGATGAAATTATGTTCTTGTTTCACCTCAACAATTCGATATTCAATCACTCAAACACCTAAAATTATCTCATGATCGACAGTCTAGCCTGAGTCATCCCTCGTCCACTCACAATCTCACGTTTGAAAAGCCATCGTCACAGCTTAAAACATAGGGTACCTCCTTGAGACAATCGTTAATTTTACGTAGCGACATCGCATTCGTAACACAAGCCTATAACTACCAAGCAATATCACTCTACCACAATGCAGGACATTAATAAGTCTAGTTCGACGACCAAACAAGATATCGTGCCTGCTCCAAGCTCTTCGCCTTTAATTATTCCTTTGACCAAATCATCAAGCCGCACTCACTCCCCCGAAAAAGAAGACCAGCTCCAAGAAATGGCGTGCATAACAAAGTCCCAGCAGCTGCTGCCCACGACTCATAGCGAACTCATATATAACATTCCTACGCAGGAGGCCACGGTACAAAACAGGCATCAGAGCCAACGCACAAGAGAAAAACAGCTAGATGAAGAGATAACTACAAACGGTCGACTAATTGATGAAATGCGCGCTGAACTTCAAACTTGGTCATTCCGAAGGAATCAGCTCGCCCGCCAGGCAAGGCCACGTCGTCCAACCAATCTTATTATTCGAATCGGTGAGAAACGAGTATTCATCGGATCTAATCAGCAATGTCCCGACGGAAAGAATACAGTCAGCTCTACCAAAATTAGATCCAATATTCCGTGCAAGAGACCTATGGAAAAAATTTGAAAAAGAGCTTCAAGAACATCACCGCTGTCCCGAAAAATAATCGCGAATTATGATACCCCACGGGAGCAAAATGGCCGCCACAAGATAATGTATTAAGGAGTTCAGATGAAAGGTGTCCTTGGTGTTGGCGTTTCTGAAAAAAGGGAAATCTTAGGGGGCAATCGTATTTCTCACGTGGTAGATGAAGGTTAAAGGAAATTCGAAGCAGACCCTCGAAAAATTAATGGTTGAAATTCTGGTCTCGTTAAATGTAGTCGTCATTTCTCAGCTTTTAAAACCAAGCTACCCTAGCGCGTTACATTTGATATCTTATTGATATGGAGGAAGATCATTTTGAGCTTTGAAGACTCACTTTTGTATTGTAAATATTTATTAGAAAAGCCCTAAAAACAGTTTGAAAAAGTATGGATAAGCGTTTTGTGATAGTGAGAGTCCTCCGTGCCCATGCGAGCGACACGAGCTTGCTTGGACCTAACAAATACCGCTAAGCATCGCCCATACCAAGTGAGCCACTTGACATGGCTCACCTTCTGCAAGTTAGGGGACTTACTCAGCACCTCTTGGTTAACAAAAAAGTCACTCTTATCTAAACTCACTCCAAATTATCAATACTACGAAAGAGTCAAAGTTAGACAGCAATCTATATAATTGCTTGAATCTGGGCAGTAACCAAAATTGATCCAAGCTTATAAGCCATAAGTGATGAGTTAGAGCTCATACCACTAGGCTAACTGGCCTAATAGAAGTATCCTATAACAGTCGCCCGATCGAGCGGTCCGGTCTGAAGAGCTAGATATGAGCCCCGCAGACAGACACATAACCTTTTCCCGGGATCAGGGTGGGTCCAGGCCTGACATCATGTACGAGGTGCACGGTCTCCCTGACAATAAGCAATGTTTCTGTTGATCAACCCGTTTTCCCACTTTCGCCACGTCGTCTTAAGCCTGGATCCCTGGAGATTCACGAGAGGAAATCCCGCTAGTTTCCCATCATCATTGAGTAGCCGGATGACGAGAGCTGAACACCAATCCATGCCTTACACTATGAAGCTGGGAGCGAGATTTACCCAAAAACAAGGGCAGGATTGGGAATCTATGACGGGATGGCGATGGGGAATTTTGGTGTCTACTCATTTTTGTTCGAAGCCCTGACCTGCGTTGTTTTCGCCACTGCGTCTGTCAATGGTGTCAATCATCTTCATCCCAAGCACGAAGCGCAGATAGGCTCAAGCTTGTCTAACATTCCTACTTCAACGATTGTCCGCTGTTCTGCCTTGGCTTTTCCCGAAAGATTTTTCTCAGCTTAATTCGTTCCGCGATCTCTTGACAGCCATCTCACCCCTACCGCATCAATAGAGAGTCCAAAGGTCTTCATATAATTCCAAGAAACAAGAAGGCTTTCAGGTCTCCGCAACTTCCAGAAGCTGTAAGGGTAACGTTGAAGTGCCCATATTAATACATCCTCACTCTGGCAAATAGCAGCATGGACGTAATAGGTACAACACTCTGCCAGCTTTCGAACCAGTGCATTCTACAAATCCTGTGCCATCAATATCGGAATGTTGATCATATTCGGTTCTCACGGCTAGGGATTAGATAGTATTCTAGCTACTAAGATGGAGAGATTTATACATGAAATAGGGAGTCATTATAATGCAGAAAAAAATTGAGATGAGGCCCGGGGATGAAAAGGGAATATGCTGGGACTAGGCAACATTAGGAATATTCGGATTAGAAGGAGTAAAGATTTGGATGCCTTCAATATCTTAGGCGTGTTGTGGTTGAAATTGAAGAGAAATTCTCACATCGGCCCGTCAAGATTGGGTTCATTAGACGTTCCGATTTGGCATGATTTAATCGGCCAATCCTGAAACAGTCTAATTACTCAGGTGGGAGGACGGGACTCAAAATTTGTCAGTGGTATCACCTATGATCCTCCAGATCTCTCTGCAGAGCCTACAGACCGACATTGAGTAGAACCTTTGAAATTTTGAGTTGAGATATCTCCCCCTCCCTCGAATATACGCTTTTCGTAGTACACAAGAAGACCAAGACGACGATAATTATTGGAGGGCAAGACTAAAAACCTGTACGCGGTGTTCTCTACGAACCTGGGAGTGAAATATTCTCCCAGAGCCAAGTTCAGTCAAATTTTGCAAAATCAAAAAAGTTAGCCCACGAGGCAATGATTCAAATTACTCCACCACGTCAAATTTTCACCCCCAACGAGTTCGAATCATATCCAAGCCTCATCAAGTTTACAGGTACGAACCTGTACATCATCATCTCAATGACTACACCTCTCTTCGATCTTCTCTGGCCTCAGCCGGTCATCAAATACACGCCCACGCCGATGTTTACACACGATGGAGGAAGCGAAGCGTGGCGCACAAATCTGGGAGACAGTTCTTTGTGATGGACGTGAGAGGATTCAGGAAAAGTTCACAAGATAATGCGAAGGTTGGATACAGTCTCGACAGGCGTGGAGTTTTTACAAATTGAGCTTTATGCGTGCCAAGTCTTGGGTTGTGAGAGTGCAAGCGATACTATAAAAACTGCCATGGTTGGATGGTGCGGTGGTACATCGTGTTGGCCGGTCTACCAAGTAGAGTCTGGACAGCTTGGACACATAGCCCACTCGAGACAGCAGATCGCTAGTTCAAATCCCGCAAAATACAACCAATTTTCTCGCGGCGCTGGTATGCATGGATGACGAAGGCATGCTTGGATAACCAAAGGTTTTGAAATTCCCATTGGTGGGTAGTTACGGAGGAGGATCGACTGTTTGTGTAAGCAAGCATACCTCATAGTGGTATTTGCGAATGAAATATAGAGCATGAGTGTCTCTAACGTCAAAAGAGTCGTCCAATATGTATACATAGCACCGGTCATATGTCCTAGCTCTATAGCTGAATTCACTTAAATGATTTAAGAAAAAAAAAGATAGACACCTGAGCGTGTCGTATGGTAAGCAGGCATGCGGCTCAAGTGGCAATAGGCACGGTAAATCTCTACCCCAAGACGATGATAAGAATCAAGTTTTTTATACTACATCCCGTATGGCTGCCATGTACGAAAAATGGAGATTTACCTGTAGATAGATAAAGACGTTGAAGCCCTCTGATAGTTGGGACAAGTCTTCTACTAAATAATATCGGAATCAATCTTCGCCTCCCACTTATCAGTCTCATAAATCATTTTCAATGTCTGTGATAACAGACGTACATACACAAAATCGACATAATGTATAAAATCACTAAAGGTATCTTCCTCTGGGAAAAGGGACCATTCTGAACACCTATCAGTGATGTCTCCTACGAGCCTCCAGTTCTCACTGTAGAGTCTGCAGAGCCGAGCTTGAGTAACAAAGTCTTCACTTCGATGAGGATTCCCAATCGCTTTCGCAGTCTGTATCGTCTTCATCCCTCAACATATTCCCCTATCAGCATTATCAAAGATCTAACCACGATCAGATCAGATGGCTGGATCGAAGCCCTTCTTGTCATCAACACTTGATCATTGAGGAAAAGCCATCCGATGAGTTTCCTGAGCGTACCCAGCACCCGACACGGAGATGGTGGATTGGATCAAGTCGGCCTCGACCGTTACAAAGAAGGGAGATATAGATGAATATGAGCACCTCCTGTGGTCCCGGGGTTTAGGCCTCGTCTGGCAGGGACTGCAGGTTCTTTGAGAATTTTTCCTGCGCACGCAGTTTCTATTACTACCATTTTATTTTTTTTGGGGCCAAGGTGTTGTAATTGAGGGAGTAACATGACTGCATTACAATAACCTGTTCACATTAGAATAATGTGCACATGCACCATGGGATATGATTGACCTAGATCATTACTCATTGGTATGACATAATATTTCCCAATAGATTCCTAATGGTGTCTATTAGCGTTAGTATCTATCACATCCTTTCTTTCTCGGTTAGACATGGACATATGTTGGAACATCCACTAGTGTGCAGAACCCCTTTATTCATGTATATAGAGGAAGGTCCTGTCACGTAGATAAACTAAGCATTTTGTCGCAACACTATTCTGGGATGTGCATGGGTCAAGAGAGAGATCGCAATATGTTGATAGTTAGTCACGTGGATTGGTGCAGCTTGGCGTGTCGCCCTTAAGGCTGACACGTCTGTATCCAAGAGATAGAAGAACAAGAATTACCACATCAGAGAGAAACCCATTGCGTACGCGTACACGTGTATATAACCGACCGACACATTTAATACAATAGAGAATTCAAACACTCTACATATTATTCACACACTTGAGAATACTACGGAATATCTTCAAGTCCGTCCATTGATCCAAGTCCTAAGAGTACAACTCACGAACATCACTTCTCTTAAAGCCATAGCTACCTCCTCCCATACCTTCATCCTAACGGTACGACATTCTAGCTCAGCATAGCCTTCCAATAGGAGGTTCCCTGGAAAAGGTGGCTGAATTCCACGGGCAAATACTAAGTTGAATGGCTATTCATCACGGGCAATATATCAATGATCTTTCAAGAAATATGAGGGGCAAGAAGCACTGTACAAGGTGTAGCCTGGGCCAGAGAGGAGCCCAATGTGTTAGATAGTCTGACTCAAGTAGTACAATAAACATACACACGCTATACCCCATAAATACACCGATTCGTCCTCTATCAACTAGTTTATCTGTTCTTTGTCCTTTGGCTATGTTGTGAGGGTTAGTGTACGAGATAAGCTTTCTTCCCCAAACTGCAATATGGCTTATGTCTGGTCGAATACCGGTAAAGGCCTCCTCGGGACTCTTTTATATTCCATCAATGACAGGGCCTGTTTAGGTCTGTTTTCGTATATACACATCAGTTTCTACAGCTTCATCCCAAAATTTAAGTGGAAAACTTGCATCTTTAAGCATTGCTCTCATGCTATTTTCACATGTTTGAATACATCGTCCCACAGGCCCATTTTGACTGGATGTTCCAATCATAGTTAGTTCTAAACGAGTTCCTTGTTCC